AAAAAAAAAAAAAAAAAAAAAAAGTCAGATACAGCATTTAGAACAAGAATTTAATGCTGTATCTGGCATTTAGTAGATCATCATCATTTCAAAATTGCTTGCTATGCAAGCTTTCCTGTTGCGCCTAATGTGGTATGGGGTCTTCTGACTTACTATTGGTAACATTAGACTCATGAAAATTGAGTAGCATCCATGATATTTTTATGTTACAAATATTTCGGGTTTGACTCTGAAGGCTTGGTGGTGGCAGTAGACTTCTCATATTAGAGATTACAATAAAATGGTGAATAGTTCCAAGCTTACCCTCCTCTCCCATCTATGCCAGGTAAATAAAACCCTCCCATAAATAACTGGTACCGTTTTAATGGGACTTTTGGGTTCATGAGATGTAAATATTGATGACCTTGACATTTTTTGGTATGTGCACAGTTCAGGAGGCACAGTATCTCCAGATAACTGAAAGCAGGTAGATAGCCATGGGCCCCCACCGATCCCCATAATTCAGGGGGGCTCTGGCCTTGCTTCTGGACTTTGTGCAGGAAGCATATTTTGTAGGCAGAGGAATCTGTGAAGTTTAGGTCCTCTAGGTATTTCTGTAGGCAAATCTCAGTAGATTGGATCTTTGTTAGTCTGACATTATAATAAGATGTTTCTAGGGCAAATACGTGAGTCTCCTCCCCTCCCCTATGAAATCAAGGACTCCAGTACTGCCACCAGGGTAATATTGTGTAGTAGCTAAGTGCTTGGGAGCACAATTCCCAGGTTCGAATCACGGTTCTGTCACCCCTAGAGGTGTGGCCTTAGGTAAATTATTTAACCTCTTTCAACTTTAATTTCCTCAGCTATGAGGATAATATTAATACCGATGTTTTCTTTTAGTTTTTTTTTTTAAGTAATTAAATGAGAGCTATCCAATTGTGATTAGCATGTTAGTAAAGATTTCTGAAATATTATTCATTAACCAGTTTTCAGGTGTCCTGTGCTCACAGGAGACTAACCTACAAAGCGGATGAGATCTACAGCCTAAGACAAATTTCTGTCTACTGGGAATATACATTCAAGTTACATGAAAATCGCATATTGGAAAAGATGAGAATGTAGCAATGATTTTGCAAAATGTTTTAGCAAGTTTTATTTTGCTACTTGTCTTAAATGTAATTTTTTGGGCCAGGCGTGGTGGCTCATGCCTGTAATCCCAGCACGTTGGGAGGCTGAGGCAGGCAGATCACGGGTTAGGAGTTCAAGATCAGCCTGGCCGACATAGTGAAACCCCTTTTCTTACTAAAAAATACAAAAAAATTAGCTGGGCCTGGTGGCGCGTGCCTGTAGTCCCAGCTCCTCAGGGGCTGAGGCAGGAGAATTGCTGGAACCCAAAAGGTGGGGGTTGCAGTGAGCCAAGATCACGCCATTGCACTCCAGCTTGGGCAATAGAGTGAGACTTCATCTCAAAAAAGAAAAGTAATTTTTCTGGTTTTATGTAATGTGTGTATCAGAAATGGGAATATTAGAATACCTACTTCGTTGTATTGTCAAGTGTATTGGTGGCCTTCATTTACATATCCATTGTGCTGCAGTTTCACATGCAGAAGTACCATCTGCAGGGATTATTATAGCACTTGAGGGGATGGAATTCCCGCACTCTGTTTTGGGTACTTTTTCACTAAGAAGTGTGGGCACCATGAGATGGTACTTACCATCTGTCTGTTGAAGCATTTTTATGTATATTACCTGAGCACTTAGGCGCACCACTGAGGGGGGATTTAAAATGGAAGGAAAAAAGGAAAAATTGAAAATAAAATGTCATGATGGAAATAAAACTATTCTTTTTTTTCTTTTTGAGGTGGAGTCTGGCTCTGTAGCCCAGGCTGGAGTGCAGTGGTGCCATCTCGGCTCACTGCAACCTCCACCTCCCAGGTCCCCGGTTCAAGTAATTCTCCTACCTCAGCCTCCCAAGTAGCTGGATTACAGGCACGAGCCACTACGCCCAGCTAATTTTTGTATTTTTTAGTAGAGACAGGGTTTCACTATGTTGGCCACTCTGGTCTTAAACTGTTGACCTCGTGATCCACCCGCCTCGTCCTCCCACAGTGCTGGGATTACAGGCCTGGGCCACTGTGCCTGGCCTTCTAAACTATTCTTAAAGCAGACTTGGCTGGGCACGGTGGCTCACGCCTGCAACCCCAGCACTTTGGGAGGTCGAGCCAGGTGGATCACCTTGAGGCCAGGAGTTCAAGACCAGAGTGACCAACATGGAGGAACCCCACCTCTACTAAAAATATAAAAAAATTAGCTGGGTGTGGTGGCAGGCGCCTGTGATCCCAGCTGTTCAGGAGGCTGAAGCAGAAGAATCGCTTGAACCCCGAGGGCAGAGGTTTCAGTGAGCCGAGATTGCGCTATTGCACTCCAGCCTAGGCAACAAGGGTGAAACTCCATCTTTAAAAAAGAAAAAGAAAAAAAAAAGCAAAACAAAACCATTCACTATTGTGTTTAAGAGACAAAGCTCAATCCACAAAGTTGAAAGTGAAGTGTGAATCAGGAAATTTTCCAGGAATGTCAAGCAATACTGGCTCCTAGGTCTCAAATTCAAGGAAATGTAAAAAAGTCCATTTTACAAAGTAACTTCTTAGGTTGATTGTGAGCTGTCAATGTTTGATGGGTAGATCCTGAAACATTAACCAATTACATTCTTTTGTGCTATGCGGTCATGTTGGTGGCCTCCGCTGTTCTGAGCTTCTAAATTTGTGCATTGACACAAATTTAGTGGGAATTCACTAAATGAGCTGCAGAGAGCAGAGTGGAACATTTCGGCATTAGCTTGAAATTTCCTAAAGAGAACCAGTGGAAAGATGTTGAATTCCATTGAAATATTATTTATTGATTGCCTATGTTTTATAACACCTGATAAATTATCCGATCCGTTAAAAACACCCCATCTGCCTAATTCTCCTTTTCCAGTTGGAGCAGATGAAAGGATACAAAGATACTCTGTACAGGTAGAGAGAGATGATTTCAGGTTTTCTTCACACCACTGGGCGCCTTGATAGCTATTCTTTGTGTTTGTGCACATTGACGATTTTCAGTTTCAGCTGGGGACGGGGGAAGTGTTTTTCTCCCATATTCAGTTGTCTTGATAGTTTTTACCCAGGCGGCCTTCCCCCACCCTCCAGCACTTGTGCGTCCTCAGCGCTTCTTCATCCATAAGGTAAGAGTGGGGTGTGGCTGCTCAGCATTCTGTGTTTCACTGCACACCTGGAAACCTATGGGCTAATGACCTTGTGAGAATTTGGGTGGTAAGGAGGCTGCAGAGATCAGCTTCCTTTTACAGATGTGGAAACTGAGGCCTGGAAAGGTGAAGAAATTGATCTGAGATCATTCAGCCAGCAAGTATCAGGACAGAACCTCTAACGTCAGTGCAACTTCAGCATTTCCACTATGGCGTGCTGGGAAGGGTGCAGTGGTGTGGGCTGAGTCGTGCTTAAAGGATGACAGTAGACTGACTGAGGAGTGAAAGAAAAAGACTGTAAAGATAGAACACAGGGCTGGCCTGGTGTCTCACGCCTGTAATCCTTGCACGTTGGGAGGCCGAGGGAGGAGGATCACCTGAGGCCAGGAGTTCAAGACCAGCCTGGCTAACATGGCAAAACCCCATCTCTACTAAAAATATAAAAATTAGCCAGGCGTGGTGGTACATGCCTGTAATCCCAGCTACTTGGGAGGCTGAGGCAGGAGAATTGCTTGAACCCGGGAGGCAGAGGTTGTAATGAGCTGAGATTGTGCCACTGCACTCCAGCCTGGGTGACAGAGTGACACTCTATCTCAATTAAAAAAAAAAAAAAAACACACTTGGAACCAGGGTTTGGGTCAGGGTTTGTTTGAGGTTGTATTAGAGGCATGTCTTTTGGTCAGGAAGCTTGAATATTCTTTTTTCTGATGTGAGAGAAAAGGAAGAGATTAAAGGCATGAGGAAGATCAGGTTTTTAAAATAGCTGTTTACTTTCTGTTGAAACCATAGAACAATGAATATTTATTAATCATTGGGTAATTTAGGCTAATGGAGTATAGACAATTTCTGGTTTTACCTTCTTGCCTGTTTGGGTCCATGCTGCCTTTTGTTTTGCTTAAAATGGGCTAAAAGAGAAAGCAACTGAAACACTTTCCAGATTTGATAACTTCTGAGATCTCAAGTGAAACCTCTGGCTCGCATCCCAGGGTGAGGTCACACAGCCTGTTAGTCAGATTTATGTTGGTGTGTCAACCAAAATGCAGAGCAGCCTGCTGCAATAATTCTTTCCAGCCATTTATCAGCTTGGGAAGAGCGGTACCTGGGTCAGTGTGTGCTGTCTGTTGCCACCCAGAGAGTCGTCCATCTATGGGCCTATGTGCGTCTTTTCTTTTTCAGCTGATAGTTTTAAGTTCATGTGGAAAACGTGTCTTTGGTTGTACCTGGTATTATGACGTTTGCCTTATCTTTGCTTACTCATGCTCTTGAATTCAGATCTGTCTGGACATGTCTGGAGGTCTGGTATTTTGGTCTCCAGGAGTTTGTTTTCATGATTGTCTGAAGTACCTCTGGGCAAGAGCTCATTCTATAGGAAGACAGTTGAGTTGGACAAGAAATATCCAGAGCACAATTAGACATTGCTTATGTTCATGAACAAATGAGAACCTGAAAAAGCCAAGGATGGATTGCAAGTGGCTAAGCAGGCCTAGATTTAAAATAGAGCCAAGCAGCCATTTGCTGACTCGAAGCTCTACACATACTCTGATTTCCCTAAAACCCTGGAAAACCCCACATCTTTTTAACACTGGGACTTTGAGAGCTCACGTGAACCAACCAATCAAAGCTCAGCTGTATTGACCAGTCGAGGCTCAGCTGTATCAACCACAACCAATTAAAGCTGAGCTGTGTTGACCAGTCAGGGCTCAGCTGTATCAACCACAACCAATCAAAGCTCAGCTCTATTGACCAGTCAGGGCTCAGTTCTATCAACTAATCTACAAACTCACTTGTATCAACCAATAGAAACTAAACAAGTTTCAAGTCTTTGAATTAACAGACCTGATTGGAAACCTGGGTGGGAACTTTTGCTATAAAACCCAAATTTTATTCTCTGGAATGCGCCTTCCTTTTACTCCAAAGCATATTTCTCCAGTTTGCAGACGGTTCACTGAAATAGTTTCTTTCCTCCAAGTTCCTTTTCAGAGAACTTTTGTTCACATCTTATACAAAACAATAAGTAGCTGTTAAGTAGTGACTAACATTTATTGGGTGTGCTTATCGTCTGCTATGCACCATTTTAAATGCTTTACAGATCTTCACGGCAACCCTTTGAAGTTCATGCTCTTATGAACCCATTTTACAAACAAGAAACTGAGAACCAGGAAAGTGAATAGAGACCTGTACAGTCTCAAAGAGCTTACAGTGGAGTTAGAAAATTAATACGCGGGGGTGGGGAAAAAGTTAAAAAATAAAGAAAATTAATACTTGACTCATTCATTCAGCAAGCTGAATGCCTACTAGCAGTTTGAGTTTGTGAAAGTTTATGTACCTCTTTAAGGCTTTCCCAAAGGAGCTCACAAGTGAATGGAGAGATGTTTATGTAAACCAAACTTGAAAAGTGTGTTAATAGACGGGAAGAGGGTTCCAAGGGAAGCATGCTACCAGTCACTTGGATTACTCTCCAAAGGAACAGAATGATGTTGGAAACGTAGGGAGACTGGGTTGTGTTAATATTGAAAGCAAAATCTTGGGATAACTGATTTACCAAAATCTGTGTGCCACACTGAGTGTGTTAAACGGCATCAGTAACTACATCAGGGATGGGGTTGGCAGTAGCCCAGTGGCTTGTGCAGCCTTGGGAAGTGACATCATTGGGATCTCAGCAGCTCCCTTAAGATCCTGGCCATTAGCAGTTTTGACACTGGTTCTTATTGGCAGATATCAGTGGATGGAACCGAGCAGGAGAGGAGGAAAGTGGCAGATACTGTGTGATGGCTGAGAAGTAGTGTTGGTGAGTTTGCTAGTCATCTCCTGGCAAGTCCATGCCATTTGCTCATGATGGTGGGGATGTGTGGGATGGAAGGGAGGAGAACTGACAATTAGGGAGGCAGGAAATTCCTAGTAACACAGTTTTGCTCTTCAGTTTTCTATGTGTTTTGTGGTCATAAATTCCATACAGTGTCATCTACCAGATGTGTGTTCTAGGGACATTCCTGTGCCTAGAACAGGAATGGTGTTTGTAGCTCCTCTGTTTGTAGAATGGTGATGGTAATACAATTTCCCTGATTGGGCTCTTTTAAGATTTAAATAGGTGGCTGGGTGAAGTGGCTCAGGCCTGTAAATCCCCGCATTTTGGGAGGCTGAGGCCGGCAAATCACGAGGTCAGGAGATCGAGACCATCCTGGTCAACACGATGAAACCCTCTCTCTACTAAAGTAAAAAAGACTAGCAGGGCATGGTGGCACGCGCCTGTAGTCCCAGCTACTCAGGAGGCTGAGACAGGGGAATCATTTGAACCCAGGAGGCTAAGGGTGCTGTGAGCCGAGATTGTGCCACTGCACCCCAGCCTGGGTAACAGAGTGAGACTCTGTCTCAAAGAAATAAAAATAAATAGGTTATTATACATAAAGAGCTAATAGTCATGCCTGTAGCCATTAAGTGCTGGCCCTGATGATGGTGATGAAGAATTAACAGCAATCAGTGATTTAGATTAAACAATTTTAGGCATAAACTGTTGTGCTGGAATCCAAAGGGAGATTTTTTTTTCCCGTCAGGGAGACAGCTTGTTGGGCAGATGAGACATATACAATTGCAAAAGTAATTCATTCTTAATATCTGATTCCTACCTATTCACATTTATTCAGCCCAGGATTACCTTTTAGTACCTGTTCTTATGCATCCTCATTCTCTCTAGCCATGCTAGGCGACCCCACAGCCCTAGATTAGGTTTGCTCATGTCTTTATGCATTCACATAAGCCGTTCTCCAAGTCTAGAGTTCCTTTCTCTTTTGATCAGCCTGTTGAAATGGACATCCTCTCTGCAAAGTCCTTCATATTCCCTGCCCTAGACGCTGAGTTAATTCAGCTGCCACTGCATTGCCATGGTGCCTTGAACACACCTTTTTGAAAGTTGATTTACCTGTGTATTTCTCCAATAGATTGTGAACTCCCTGAGAGAAATTTGTATGTATTTTCATATTTCAGATTCTATGTAGTTGCCTTATTGAATGAATGAGTGAATATTTTTCTAACTTGACTGTAAACACTTTTGAGACTGCATCTATTAATTTTTATGAGGCTGTTTTTTTGGCTATAAAATGGGTTATTAGCAGGAAGTACAGTGGTTAGAACAAAATGATAACTCACTGAATGTTGGTTATTGCTGTGAACATAACTTTCAAATGCATGTATTTAGTCCAAACATTGTTTGGGTTATGTTAGGGCAACAAGAATGGGTACTTGATATGTTCTGTTCTTCCTGAACTCCTAACCTTCCTTATTTATGAAAGGACTCTTCCTCCACTCCTCTCAGACATACTTCCCTGGGGCCATTTACCTCCCACTAAAAAGCAAATGAAGCTAATCTCCCTGGCTTGATACTGATTCCGTCTAGTCCACAGAGAATATGCTAATCACCTTTGCTAAGTGCTTTCTGGCCAAAGGTGTAAAAGCCTGATTCCATTTGGGGAGAAAAAAACCTGAAGTTTCTGCTTTAAAATTTGTGATTGTGGAATTTGCGTTTTGAAAGGTGATAGTATCTCAAATTTAACAATAAGCCATTTGTAGTGGACTGAGCATAAATTTTCATGGCTCGTTTAGATAAAAAAAACTATACCAAGGCATAGATTTCTGTGACATATTTAATTTTGTTACATTCAATTTAATATCCACAGAAATAATGCAAACCCCTTTTTTCCCCCTCTCTCCGTGGCATGTTTTTTTTTTGGTGCATATTTAAGCTATTCATTTTCAAAAAGCAAAGACCCTTTTAAAGGCTGGTACTTAAGGCGGTCAGGCTGCCTCAGTTTCTTCCTCTGTGAGTCTAACCTGGGCCACCTGCATCCTTCCCTCGAGTGTTTGGATGAATGGCTCTGAGCTTGTAAAGCACTTTGAATTTCTTGGATGAAAGAGCCCCTGTAAGTACAGGTCTTAGGAAGGTATTATATCTGGGCTTTTAAAACTGCCGCACAGCCTGTTTTGCAAGAACACTAATGCACTTCAGGGTTTAGAGCTGTAAAAAGATGTGTTTTCAGAAGCCTCGGGCTTCATCCTGTGAGGTTCCTGAGGCATGTGCGCTGCTTGTTTACTTCTAGCGTAGACTGCTCCTCACTGCAGGTGTGCACATGCACAGCGGCCATCTGGGCTTCGGGTCACCTAGGATCACATCTGGCTGCTGTGGTATAGGGAGGAAAACCCGGGGTGCTGGGAGAGAGGATGGGCTGCTCCTGGCCCCATGGCCTCACCTCTTGGGAACCTCCAGGATTTCTGGAATCAGGGTGAGGAAACACAGAAGTGCTCTGAAGTGGTCAAAGGGAGGGCAGGGTTCACCCCAGGGACTGATGCTTGGATTGTGAAGAACTCAGTTTGGTTTCTAGCTCTTCTACTTCCTTTTTTTTTCTCTGATGGAGTTTTGCTCTTGTTGCCCAGGCTGGAGTACAGTGGTGCGATCTTGGCTTGCTGCAGTTTCCGCCTCCCGGGTTCAAGCGATTCTCCTGCCTCAGCCTCCCAAGTAGCTGGGATTATAAGCATGTGCCACCACGCCCAGCTAATTTTTGTATTTCTAGTAGAGACGGGGTTTCTCCATGTTGGTCAGGCTGGTCTTGAACTCTCGACCTCAGGTAACCTGCTTGCCTCATCCTCCTTAAGTGCTGGGGTTACAGGCGTGAGCCACTGCGCTTGACAGCTCTTCCATTTCCTAGCCCTGTGCCCTCAGGCAAGTCAGTTAGCTGCCCTGAGCCTCAGTTTCTCCAATGGGCAGTCCTGCCCCTCACATGTATGGTGCCTGGGGCTAGAATGTGAATGCAGGACCAGATCTTCTGTATCTAAATATTTAAAAGTTACAAATCACATGAAAAAGTGTCCAGACATGTTTGGAAATTTTTCTGTTCTGACAAATACACCTTTATAAGGGTCTTGAAGGGCCGGTTTGAATTTTGAGTTTTCAGATTCTTAGCCAACTTCCGTCCCTGACCAGGTAGTGTGGGTGGGAGCGGGAATCTAGTCGTCATGCTGCGGACAGATGGTCTGTATGTCTGCAGGATCCGCCCTTCACCCTGTGGGCCTTGGGGTTCTATACTGAAGACTGTGTCCCTTGGGAAAGTGTGTAAAGTGAACGTGTGCACAGGCCTAATAAATGAGTGTGGGCTGTTGGAACAGGGAGCTCTAGGGTCCTCGTACCTGGCACATGATCCAGAATAGGATTTTGGGCTTCTGATGGGCTGGTGCTTTTGGTCCTCACTCTGTGGGAAGGGGCATTATAGCATGGGGGTCCCTGTTTCCAGGGACATCACACACAAGGTTCAGACAGCATTCATTGCAAACTACATTTGATTGTTGATTGTGCTGGTTTTTTTTTTTTTTTTTTTTGAGATGGAGTGTTGCTCTGTTGCCAGGCTGGAGTGCAGTGGTGTGATCTCGGCTCACTGCAACCTTCACCTCCTGGATTCAAGTGATTCTCCTGCCTCAGCCTTCTGGGTAGCTGGGATTACAGGTGCATGCCACCATGCCTGGATACTTTTTGTATTTTTAGTAGAGACGGGGTTTTACCATGTTGGTCAGGCTGGTCTGGAGCTCCCGACCTCATGATCCACCTGCCTCAGCCTCCCAAAATGCTGGGGTTACAGATGTGAGCCACTGCGCCTGGCCTAATTGTACTTTTGTAGTGTTACTATCACGTACATAAAATAAGTTCTTTCTATCAGAAAAGCTTCATCATTCATGTCAGCCTTAATCACATCAACAGTTAGCAGTGCTGGGATTGAGTTATTTTCTACTAGATAGGATGATGCGTTATTCTCCTTCTGTCTCTAGGACCTAGCACAGAGCTCTGTTTTCATTTAGCTCTTTTGTTTGTTTGTTTGAGACAGATTCTTGCTCTGTCACCTAGGCTGAAGTGCAGTCCTGTGATCTCAGCTCACTACAACCTCCGCCTCTCAGGTTCAAGCAATTCTCATGCCTCAGCCTCCCAAGTAGCTGGGATTACAGGCATGAGCTACCAGTCCTGGTGAATTTTTTGTATTTTTAGTAAAGACAAGTTTTTGCTGCGTTGGCCAGGCTGGTCTCGAACTCCTGGCCTCAAGTGATTCACCCGCCTTGGCCTCCAAAGTGCTGGGATTACAGTGTTCTCACTTAGCATTTTATTCATTCGTTCAGTAACATAAATATAATACGTATTGGCCGGGCGCGGTGGCTCAAGCCTGTAATCCCAGCACTTTGGGAGGCCGAGGCGGGTGGATCACGAGGTCAAGAGATCGAGACCATCCTGGTCAACATGGTGAAACCCCGTCTCTACTAAAACTACAAAAAATTAGCTGGGCATGGTGGCGCGTGCCTGTAATCCCAGCTACTCAGGAGGCTGAGGCAGGAGAATTGCCTGAACCCAGGAGGCGGAGGTTGCGGTGAGCCGAGATCGCGCCATTGCACTCCAGCCTGGGTAACATGAGTGAAACTCCGTCTCAAAAAAAAAAAAAATAATAATACGTATTTGTTGGCTATCCCTGTTTTCCCTAAGCGTTATTGGAGGTAGTAGCAGTGAACAAATAGATGCAACTTCTATCTTCATGGAACTAACACTTTAGTAGGAGGAAACAGGAATAAAAAGGATAAACAAAAAAATAGATAGTTTCCGGCCAGGCGTGGTGGCTCACACCTACAATCCCAGCACTTTGGGTGGCCGAGGTGGGTGGATCACAAGGTCAGGAGATTGAGACCGTCCTGGCCAACATGGTAAAACCCCATCTCTACTAAAAATACAAAAAATTAGCCGGGCATGGTGGTCTGCATCTATAGTCCCAGCTACTCAGGAGGCTGAGGCAGGAGAATCGCTTGAACCCAGGAGGTGTGGAGGTTGCAGTGAGCCGAGATCATGCCACTGCCCTCCAGCCAGGGCACCAGAGCGAGACTGTCTCAAAAACAAGTGTAGTTTCCTTGAAGGTGGCTTCCTCTCTGTTCACTCATTTGCTCCACAAATACGTATTCTGTATCCATGCCAAGGACGAGGCACTGTGCCTCCATCAGAGGTAAAGATACGGAAAGAGAAATGATCACAAAACGAGAGTATGACATTACTCAGGGTTTGTGTGAAGTACTGTTAACTGCAGGAAATCCTCATGCTCTTTGGAACTGATGTTCTAAAATTTTTTCTTCCT